CTTCTAGTTCCAGTTGTTGATATGCTCCAGGATATACACAGGGTTGGTTCATACGGGAAGATGATGACAGGACTGGGTTTATCTTCCTCACAACTGCATAGCTAGTGCTTACACACCTAGCACACTGCCTGGCTCAGACTGTTGATGGAAATACATGTTTAATGAAGGAATGTGGCTTGTTCATTGTTCTGAGGATATCAAAATTTTAAATTCCATTTCTTTTTGTATACTAAATTACTTTGGATTCAATGAAAGCTAGGTATCAGTATTTTATTAATAATAACTTCCATTTTCACAGAAGCTCATTAATATTATACCACTAAACTGAAAAGCTACCGTGAGAACTCTCTCTGATATTATTACAATTGATAATATTATTTTGCTGTTCTGAACAAGTTATAACAACATTGATTTTCAAAAAGTACATGTTATTTCTGATTGAAAAAATAATGCTTATTCACAAATAAGTATTCATGGGCTATAGAAATAGATATGAAAGTCAATTATGATTTCACCCCCAGAGATAACCTCTATTAACAGCTTCGGCTTTCTTCAGATTCTTTTCTATGTATATGTCAAAGTGTATAACAGTTATTCTTTTACTAAATATGAGTATATTACACATACTGTTTTGAAATTTGTTTTTGTTTTCTCAAAAACATGTTTCCATGTTAATACTTAAAGATCTACTTAATTGCTTTTTGTGACTGAATACCTTCCATTACATGAATCCACCATCATTTATGCACAGCCACTTTCCTGTTGGCAAACATTTGGATTACAATTAGTATTATTTTAAAGTGCTTTAAGTGTCATGTCATCTTAATAACAAACAGCTGCTTAAGAAAAAGTCCTGAGAGTACTATCGAGACACACACACACACACACACACACACACACACACACACACACAGAAAGCAGAGTAAGCCAGGTGAGTATATTTTTGTTTAAGCAATGCTAGACGTTGGTGCATCCTGGGATTTTCTGGCCAGAGGCCCGTGGACAACTTGGCATAGCTGATGTAATGACAGTGCAATTATATGTCAGTGATTCAAGTATGTAAAATTGCAAACAAAAGCCTTTGTTTTAATGGCATAACCACTTTAGAGACTGATCGTATGAGAGCTCTGTAGGGTTTTCAGGTTTAGAGAGGGACCTGGAAGCTTTGTTGGGATCTAAATTACCACCAAAGAAACAGTTCCCTGGGCTGCTGCCTCCCTTTTACTGTCTTTGTTCTGAACCCGTCAGTGGTGGTAGCCCTGAAGTCTTCCAGTGTCTCAAACCTGAAGAAATTGTTGTATTGCAAATGGCGGAATGGATCAAGATTTGATCATTTAGATGGGATTCCAGGCAGGACCAGTGCTAGGATTTACTGGATTCGGGACATGTCTTGGAACTCTGCCAATTTGATTAGAAAGGGAGCTGGAGGGTTCCTTTGGGAATGCCACCCCTAATAGCTCCCTGTGCTCAACTAGGAGATTAGACAAATGTGGGTTGGCAATGACCCAGTGCAAAGTAAGACCTTAACTCCCCGGTTGGGCCAGTCCCAGCCAGGCTTCTGCCAATCTACCCTTTTCCAGGCAAGTATAAAAAGCAGGAAGTATGCTTGGTGCTTGGGGACCTTATGAATGCCATTAGCGTTGTTGAGTTTGGATTCCTTTATTGGAAATGTTCTAATGTGTGAGTGTTGCATCATTTAGAGCTGCATAGTAGTGGGATGAATGTTGCAGATGAAACTTTTAGAATTGTTTAAAAAAATACATCAGTGTGGTTTTGTTCTCCAAGAAAATACCAAATGGTGATTACACTGGTGCTGCTGGGGTCCCTGAGGTCCCGGAGGCTTCCACAGTGGTTCTGAGGATTGGGGTGGAAGCAGGGGAGCTTCCCAGGCAAGGCTGAGGACAAGCACTGGATCCCTGTCATCAAGCTGGGCCACCTGGTCAAAGATGTGAATATCAAGCCCTTGGAGGAGATCTATCTCTTCTCTCTGCCCATCAAGGAATCTGAGATCATAGATTTTTATTTTTTCTTGGAGTCCTCCTTCAACGATGAGATTCTGGAGATTATGCCTGTGCAAACTCAGGCCATCACTGGCCAGTAGACTGGGTTGGAGGCAGTTGTCACCATTGAATATTACAATGGACATGTCGATCTGGGTGTTAAGCGCTTCAAGAAGATAACCACTGCCATGTGTGGGACCATTATCCTGGCCAAGCTCTCCATCATCCCCACGCAGTGAGGCAGCTGGGGGAACAAGACCCACAAGCCTCCCACTGTCCCTTGTATTAGTACGGACTTACAATTCTAGTGTTTAAATTGTAAATGAATCTACATAAACAGTAGCTATCAAACTATTATAAATTATTGCTGATATTTCTTGACACATTACCATCTGGCTTTTGTCTATTTCTAACCTAAAGTTCTCACACTTTATTTTATTATTTTATTTTATTTTTATTATTATTTTTTAACCCTCACCCAAGGATATTTTTTCCATTGCTTTTCAGAGAGAGTGGAAGGGAGAGAGAGAGAGAGAAACACTCATGTGAAAGAGACACATTGACTGGTTGCCTCCTGCATGAGCCCCAACTGGGTCCAGGGATCGAGCCTGCAACTGGATATGTGCCTTTGGTCAGAATCAAACCCGGGACCCTTCAGTTCGCAGGCTGATGCGCTAACCACTGAGCCAAACCGGCCAGGGCCTTACATTTTATTTTAACAATAGCTACTAAAATTTATCTTTTCACACACAGAAATCTGTTTTTAACAAGAGCCTTGAATTAGTATTGTCAGGTAGGTTCGAGAAATACTGCTTGAAGACATATCCCTGCTACATTTCCTTGCAAGATCTCTGTAGAGCAGTGTTTTCAAAACCTTATTTAAAGGTGATTTCCACTAAGAAACATAGTTTACCTTTAAAACCAGGACATAACAATATTTATGTGTGCAGTAACAGAAAAAAAATGTTCACAAAACTATTTTTTCCCCCTCTATTCTATTTCACCTTTAAATAAGGATAGTCAGGGACTCATTAAATTGATTTCAAGACCCACAGCTTGAAAACACTGTCCTGTGGGTTTAAATCCAAGGAGATTTTTTAAAGCTTATTTTTTCACAATCTAGCTCTTATTTGTGTTTTGCAAGTACTTCCATGGAAACTGCTTAATGATCATGGCTACTTAGTTGCCTAAACCTTCTTTTGGCCTCTTGTCTACTTGGTGAACTTTTTTCTTTCTCCAAGTCTTTGCCCAGATATCACTTCCTTTGTGTTATTTCCACTAAGTACTGGAGCCACCATGAGGAGCTTTGGCTTAGAAGTTCCCTTTGCAATTTGCACACACCCAAATTAATACCTAGCATCTACCGCTCAAACCTGAAATGATCTGTTGACAATGCTTGTCACTCTAATGATATCACACTCCTTGAGTGTAAGGAACCCTTTCTCACCAATTTTTTATATTCCAGGACCTAGAAAGATGACTGTCACAGAATAGAAGCTTGCTAAATGCTAACCCACGTGCCATATATGAAGGAAGGGTACCCCACCGTCATGCATGAAGGTGTGGTGGAAGGGGAGTTAGTGCAGTACCCAGAGCTCAGGACACGAGAGGAAATGGGAAAGTAGCTTATAGCCCAGTTGAGAAAAAGGCTGAAAAGCAATGCTGGAAAACTGGGACTTTATCTTCCAACTAAAAAAAAGGTTTTGTTCCTAAATGGGATTATTTGACCAGAGAAAGGAGATAGTTAGAGCTTCATTATAGAAAGCCAGCTCTGACAGCGTGGTGCAGGAGGCTGAAAAGGGACTGGGAGCTTAGACCTGAAGCTGTAGGTTTAGTGCTAACGAGGGGTGGGGTCTGGGGCCTATATTATGTAAGACCTGGTGACTGGTAGGATGCCAGGGATGAGAGAGAGTGAAGAATTGAATATGACTTGGAACATCAGCCAAGGGATTAAAGTGAATATCAACAGTGATAAATCAGTTGATATGGTGTGATAAATAAGGCACTTTACTTCTGTGTTCTTTCCTCTAATGACCTATAACTTAAGTCTAATCATGAGAAAAACATCAGATAAATCCCAATTGAGAGACATTTCTGCAAAATAACTGGCCAGTACTCCTCAAAACCGTCAAGGTCATCAAAAACAAGGAATGGCTAAGAAACTGTAATAGCCACGAGGAGTCTAAGGAAACATGATTAAATGCAATGTGGTATCCTGGATGGGATCCTAGAACAACAACAACAACAAGACATTAAAAGTCTAAGTAAAGTATTGACTTCAGTTAATAGCATGTCAACACGGTTTGTTAATTGTAACAAATGTACCTCACTGACCTAATAAAACTGACTTGGAGGTGGGTGATGCTGTGATTAACGTCATGATGTTGTATGAATGTTACATGCTATACGGATGGTGGAAGCTGATGATGTAGAAATTCTGGGAGGACTTGTATAGAGTAGGAGGTCATCCTCAGACCATTGCTATTTCATTGGTATTCAAAATCTGAAGCTTCTTCTATGAATTTGTTTTTGCTACATATCTCTTACTTCCACTTCTGGATACTAATACTCAGCGTCTATCTCAAGTCTGTTTATTCTTTGCCTGCCCTAACTCCGAGGCACCTTGGCTAACACCTTCGTTCCCTGTGCCTGGAACAGTTTCTCATCAGGTTATCTCCTAGTTGGCTCTTCCTTGTCATTCAGCTCAAATGTTCCCTCCCCAGAAAGGCTCCTTTGACTGCTACCCAAGTAGCCCCTCCCCAGCCACTCTGCATTGCATAGTCTGTTGTGTTTTCTTTGAAGCTTTTACCACTATCTAATATTTACTTGTTTGTTTACTCGTCTGTGGCAAATCTCCCCACTGGAATCCAAGTCCCACCCTGAAGGCAGATCCTCATCTGCTTTATCACTGAGTCGCTCAGGAAATATTTGCTGCATGAATTCACTTAAAACACTGCCTTACCTCAGGTTGCCATAACAAAATACCATAAACTGAATGGCTTAAGCAACAGATCTTTATTTTTCACAGTTCTGAAGTCTGAGAGGTCCAAGATCAAGGTGCTGACTGATTGGGTTCCTGGTGAAATCTCTCTTCCGAGCTTGCAGATGGCTTTCTTCTTGCTGTGTCCTCACAAGGCAGAGCGAGAGAGAGAAAGATTTTAGCTCCATCCATTATGGCTCCATCTCCTTGGCCACCCAGATACATTCATGTAGAATATTAATGATTGCAGGAAAATTGACTCTTTTATGGAAGTATTTTTATGCTCCTCTTATATTCCCTTTATAAAAAAAAGAATATAAGTAAGACATTTTAAAAAACATAATTCTTTCCTCAACCCCTTTTGTCCTTAGAGAAAGCAAACCATACAGACAACAGAGCATACCTGAATGCAATGCATCTTTTCCTTGGCAGATCTTAAAGCGGAGTTAATTGATGGGCCTTCAGACTGCCTCTCTCTGCTGGAATCAGGGGAGGGAAGAATTAGCCACATGCACCCTATTACCCTTTTCTCTTACCCATTTTTCTTTTCCGCCTTCCCTCCTTTGTCTTTGATTCTTCTAAGTCTCCTGGTCTGGTGGAGGTTGGGGTGTATGTGGAGAGCTGGGGCGCACTTGCATACCCCAGATCTTAGGGAGATGTTAGAAATGCCTTGAGGCTTGCTCTGGGAGAAACGTCACTCTGAGATGACCTGGGGATCACTTAGGGGTTATGGGAGCCAGGACCTCCCTCAACCACAATAAGCGCATTTCTGGCATAAGACAAGAATGAAGAACACTCTCTTGGGGCCCAGGGAGTTACTGCTGTATATACATGAACACACACACACACGGTTATTTCTGTCAGTTATTCAGACTCAGTAAGCAACACTGAATTAATAAGTGACAAAGTAAATTTTTTTAGTCATTAACTGTAGTTAGTGACTAAAAGTCAAACAAAAATGTTTTACCCTTTGGGAAAAGGTCTGAAGAGAAAAGAAAATGACAAGAGCAGAAAACTTCAATAAGGTTATACAAAGGGACAGAGCTGGATTCTTGGAAAGAATGAAACTACCCTCATGTGTGAATTTTCCTAGGGCCTCTGCTAGCTGTAGGGAGGCCTCTGCTTTTCCCATGGGAGCCCCCAGGGCATCTGCATGTGCAAGTGGTCGATTCTGCCTGACTTAGGGGAAACCATTAAATGACAAAACTCTAAGGAGGGAGGCTTTACCAACTACCACAGTTTGGGGTAGCCTTTGGTCCAGGGAAAGCAGGAAACAAGTGAAGCTCAGATGCATTCATTCCACACATTTTTACTGAGCAGTATGCTGTGCCAGGTACTATTCTAGGAGCTGGAGATAAAAATCTCTCCCTTCATGAACTTACATTCTAATGGGAAGAGAAAGATGAAAAATATGTAATCAAACAACAAGGAAGTGTTATTAGGAAGTAGAACAAAGTAAAGGGTGACTAAGGGCAAGAGGTTTGGTGGTTGTGGTAGTTATGCAGAAATTCAGGGGAAAAGCGTTTTAGGCAGAAGAATAGCAAGTACAAAGGCTCTGATGCTCTAAGAAGCATCGTGCATGTGCGTGTGTATAGAGAGGGGCCAGGGTGCTGATGGCCCATGAACGGAGGAAGAGTGGAAGGAAATGAGGTCAGAGATGTGAGCATGGCCAGGTGACATGCGGCTCTATCGGTCACGAGGAGGAGTTTGAATTGCAATGGGAAGCCATGAAGATTTTATTTATTTTTATTTTTAAAAATATATCTTTAGCCCAGCCGAGCGTGGCTCAGCGGTTGAGCGTCGACCTAGGATCCAGACTTGGTTTATGCCTTGGGGTGGGGCTGATGGAGCCTGCTGATGGTGGAGCTATGGAGGTTGAGAGACAGAGGAATCCAGGACGACATATAGTTTGGGGCTTGAGCAACTGAATGGATATAGGGCTGTTAACTGAGATGAGGAAGACACACTTAATTTCTCACTAGCATAGCACTGGTATAACTTTTTGCTTTTGTAAAGACAGATTGGTTTGGGTTTCCCCATCATCTCCTCAGGCACTGAGATTTGAAGCCTTGGTGACCTTTTGGATTCTTCCCTTATCTTTGCCTTAAAGATGGATCAACCGCCAAATCTTAGGTTCCGCCACCAAAACTCTCGTGCTCACAAACCCCCCTATATTCGCCACACCCACCAGATACCAGGCTCCCTCTCCCCCGCCACCGTTTTAATTTGCGACCTCTTCCCAGGTCTACTGGTTCCAGTTTATCTTTTTTTACTTTATTTTCCATTTTCCAGCTCTCATCCTTACCCCAGTGCTCAGATAACCTCAACCTCTCCTTTTTTCCAGTATCTGTCGTGGTAGTATTTTTTTGTTTTTACTTCTGTGATCATTTCATTCTTTCAATCTAAAATTCCTTTCCTCTCCTTTCATTTATTCCTATTTTGCCTCTCTTTCAGTGTCCTTAAATTTCACTTTCTCCTTGAATCTTTCCATGATCCCAATGGGAAGTAATCACTCCCTCCTATAAATTCCCACAGCACTTTACATGTAACCCCCTTTTAAAGCACTTACCACTTTCAATGTGTTTACAAATATTGAGCCTACTTGATAGTGAATCTTTTGAAAGTAGAGTTCATTTTCTAATCATTTTGAATAGCTATTTTGTATGCTCACAACTCCCAGAATGGTATCTTACAAATACTTTTAGCAGGTTTTCAATATTTATCAAAGGAAAGAACAAAGGAAGATAACGTTTCTTACAAAGCAAGAAAAAATTAGTAATAGAAAATTGTTTATTTTTTGTTACTGTTTTCTGATCTCTATAAGATAGAAGAAGTGAAATACTTCTAAATTTATACCATTCAGCTTAAAAATAATATAGTAAAACTGTTCTTTCTACCTTGATGTTTTCTCCTTTTATGATGTTCATCTATGAGCTAGCTTTAGAATCGACTTCCACAACATCCTGCAAAGCAAATGAATTACTGAAGCACATCACCTTCGCAATGTGAGTGTCTGAGAGAGAAGACTTGAAACTTTTGCCAAGGGTGGATTATGCTTACCAGTTGCCTTTCATCGATTGGGTTAGACATGTGAATTCCTTTCGGGATATGCTGTGGCTTTGGCTTAATCTTACAATGAATGTCACCCTGGTGATGTGACTGGGGCAGGTGCCCTAAAGGGTATGGTGACGTGGGTGATGCTTCAGAGCTCATGGCAGAGCCAGAGGCTCAGGTTCTGGCACTGCCACTGCCCAGTGAGTAACCTGGACAAGTTTATGAGTCTCTTTGCCTCTAAGTGAGGAAAATTTTGCTTTATCTCAAAAGTTCTTTTCAGTTCTCAGTACCCATGAATCATGCTCTTTGATTCTAATATTCAATACATAGAATCAGCAAATATTCCCAGAAAGCCACTGATGTAAGCAGACTGAAGATGAATGGGAGCTCTAGAGATTGTATTTTAAAGTAACACCTAATAGATCCCTAACATTTTTGCATATTGACACAGTGACAGAGCACCATGCAGATGTCACGTATCAGCATTCTGTTGTAACTCCCAGAATTCTTCCCAGAAGATCCTGGGGCAGTCATTAGCCATTCCCCTAAGTACACCAGTTTGCTGCCAAAATTCCCCCTTCGCTTCTCCTCTTACCCCCACGGGCAACACGTGAGAGTGGATCTACTGCTACTGTTTTCCAATAGTCACAACCAAATGTTATGCTACCGCATATTTCTGTTCTCTATAAAGTTATTTGTAGACATAACTGTAAATACTTAAATATTATGAGATGCACATTGGACGACAAAATTAATACTCTTGGTTGTTTGATATTTATGGAGAAAAGAAATATTGAGATTGAGCTAAAGATCATCCCCAGCAGGAAAGAAAACGTCATCTAAGTTTATGGGCTGCAATAACCTCCGTTTAAAAATGCTTTCTATGGGAACATAGCTTTAGAAATTTGTTGGTTTTTCTTGTGTAGTATGTACAGTAGACTTTTCTTTAGAATTTATTTTAAAATATGTCAAGTTCAGCCTAGCTTCTTAATAGAATTACCTAATAAAATTGCAAAAATAAAAAATTGTTTTGGGGGATGGAAACTGGATGAGGCAGTTGAAGAAGACGAAAAACTGATGAAGCACAGCATCTGAAGCAGCTTGTTTTCAGGGGTAGAGTTACAGGAAGAACACTTTATCAGTTTCTCTTTTGATCGTTTGAAATAAATGTGGCATACTTAACGAAGCATAAAGCACAAACAGTAGTCCTGAAAAAGTAGACAAAGGACAGTTATAAGTGTGATTTTTATATTTAGAGATTTTTATGAGTTTGAAGATCATGTAAACATTCCTCTGGACAATTTCAAAATTAGAAGCTGTATCAAGTATCACCAGGCATGTGCGCAAGTGCTAAGTGGTTCAGATATATCTAGAACAGCAAGATGGCACCACGATCATTAGAGAAAATTCCTCAAAAAGTTCACTATCAAAAATGAGAGTTTTAAAAATGTGTATGTCCCTTGATCCAGAAACTTCACAGCCAAGAATGTATCCTAAGGAAATATAGCTATACATAACAATTTCCTCTGATGGTGTTTACTCAGTTTTATTTATAATTAGAAAAGAAAGAAAAAGAAACAAACTCACATTTCCATTAGTATGGAATTGCTTACATAAACTGTGCACACCCATAGAAAGGAAGAATATTTGGATAATAGGAGAGTGATGGGGGCCATTTAGTGCAAGAAGCTGGGGGAGAAAGATGGTGAACATTTCTATTTTCTTGTATTCTGGGAAATTCTCAAGTAAATGAAGTTTATCTTAACAGTCTTCCAACTCCACTTTCTGCTCTTCTCAAATCCTCACACTAACTCAGTTACTACAACACCTGTATCACAAAGTTATTTGGACTCATCTCTCCTAAACTGTTTATGACTTTTACAACTTCTCTCCCCAAACTAATAAATCTAAGGAACCTATAAAAAGATTCTGGTTTTGTTTGCTTGGTTTTCTTTCATTACAACCACAGCCATGGCAACGGTGTTGGGACTACTTGAAGGGTTTGGGGTACTGTTTGCTAAACGATCATCTACAAATTAAGCGGCTGAAGTCAGTGATTTCCTGTAATATTTTTCATAGAATCAGGTCACATTCATTTTCTGCACTAGGAGTAGTAAATGACTAGTATTTTTAGTGGCAAATGGTCCCACTCCAACCCTGGCAAGGCAAATCATATGTAGTTAAAGGTAGAAAAGGGCATCGGACACTTTAAGGTCGTTTCTTAATGAGGTTCCGTTTTTGCAAAGGCCATAAGGACTTACTTATGTCTGATTATATTTTCTCTTAACTTTTCAAAGCACTTTTACATTTCCTTTCATTGTATTCTTATAGTCACAGAAGGTAGTTGAGGTATTATTGCACCCATTTGAGAAATGGCAAAACAGAGACACAAGGAATTAATTGTCGAGTAGTAGTAATAGGACCC